GTAAAAAAATCAACTTAGCAGCGTAACTTTATACATGCTAGCACCTCATTCAGCTGAGCCATAAATCTGCACGTAAGTATGTACTGTACGTCCGTCAGATGGTTGGACAGTCACGACTCTTCTCCGCCTGAGGAAAGGGTGGTTCAGTCGGGAGCAGGACAGGGAAGGAAAACAGACCTCCCGACAACCAGGAAATCAATGGAATCCAGTGGGTCATATTAGGGTCAACTGCAGAAGTCCTGCAGGGAGAAAATAAAATACATTTATCTCACTTCATCCACTGAAAATGCTCCTGCAAACAAGTTGGTTCTAGTTTTTTTTAATAATCATCAATCATAAAACAGAGGTGGAGGTTTTTGATAGTCTTGGGAGGAATACGACACCAACACAGTTTCAGATGCACGCGTGCCTTGGCACATTTTAAAGTCTCGTAAAGGTGCAGAAATTAGTTTTATTTATAGAGATGTTCTTGATTTTTATCTTTAGTTTGGTCCTAAAAATAACCCAGAGGTATTTTCAGACACCCAGTTGAAGAGAAATGAAGCATCACATCTACAAAGTAAAACTACCAAAATAGCCTAAGGTACTCAAAAATCAGAGCGGCATCAAATACAATTTCAAGCTTTAGTTCTTCAGATTTAATTAGTTTGGTGTTTTTAGTCATGCCTTATTAGTTATTTAAAGTGTGTCTCATACAGGATGGACTTCTCTGTCTTTAGGGTTACAGTATATTGTTTTGTTTTTAAAGTCAAGGACGGCTGAGAAGCTGAATTACGTAGTTTTGTCATCTTTGGGTCATCAGAGCATCACCATACCTTTTGATATCAGCCAAGATCAGCTGCTAATAACAGAAATACAATGGTGCACTTTATAAAAGGCTTAAAAAGTGTAGAAATGAGTTTAAGCGTAAAGGATTGTGTGTGGCTTATGATGGATGATTTATGGGTTGTTGCAACGATATGTTCCCAGTTTTGTCTGGAGGATGACTGGTCTTGGCACTCTGGTAAAAAGACTGTAAGAATGAGATTATATAGTTTCCGCTTTCCTGTTCTTTCATTCACAAATTAGCTGCCTCCGAAACGTATTCATCATGAATTCAACCGTGACACGATAAACTCCTGTGCGTGGACTCGCTGTATTTGGCACGGTATTTGGACTGATTAATAGGAACAAACATCTGATTTCTTTTGTACAGGAAGAAAGACCGTCTTATTTAGTTATCATTCAAACTTATATAAATTTTTTTTAAAAAACAGTAGAAAAGCAATATTACCAGAACAAATGTACTCTGAAAAGGTTGTGTCCAGTCTTTGTGGCAGTTGTCGAAAATGTGCTCATGTTGTCACTTTAGAGACCAGATGTTATTAAGAATATTTGGTTTTTAATGAGTCACGCCGTTTTAATAATTTACATTTTACAAATCGAACATGCTGGGCAGCGTGTTCACTCACGTCTCTTTTTTTACTCGAGTAAAAAAATCTCTTTCTTTTTACTCTACAAAGATTTTACATCTGCCTTATCTGTCTAACATAAAAGAAGCTGAGTTGAGGTTAGGGTTCATCCTCAGAGGAATGAGTCAGTTTTTGAAGTAGAGGTCAGAGGGGCTGTCTTAGAGAGGCTTCACGTCTCATGAATGGTGTCCAATTAGTGGAATTGGTTGATATTGTAGGTGGTCTTTGTGTGACCGAGTCTTCACGCTGGGCTTTTCCTAAACACCACTCGACTGATCGGTGACCCTTCCCTCCCTCATTAAATTAACCCATTGTCCTCCTGTTGCCTCCGTCCAATAAGTTGCTCAATATGACTCTCCAGCCTCACAGCTGCACTCCGCTGAGCTTAGCCAGAGAGCCTTTTTTTTCCCTAATTCATTCATGTGGAACATTAAATTAAAGAAATCTAAATGAATGTGATCAAAGTAATTTTCTCACAGCAAGCTGACACAACACGAGTGAGGTCCATTGAGCCTCGTTTGCTCAGAGCTCTGCGTCACTCATTTTTGGAAAACAGCCACCGCACTGGATCCTGGAAGCAGAGGTTGTTTTTTGGAGTTCTTGACAAGCAAATTGGTTGCAAATCCACATTCAGTCATACCAGTAAAATTAATGCATGTCTGGTTACGCAATCCTCCATTCGATATCTCAGAGGACAGCCACAGTCCCACAGTGAGATGAGATTAGAAGATGTATGAGTTGTGCAACATCCTTTCTTGTTCCTTGTAGTAAAAGATGAACTAACTGACTGCTGTAGTTCACGACTTGCATTCACAAGCAATTTGTTCTCTCAGACAGATTAAATGGCATGAGAGTGAGTAAGAGATGTGTGATGGGTGACTACAAATGCTTTCACTGTGAGAGTGTTAGTGTTGACGTAATGTTAAAGCTTGTGATGGTGTTTTTATTTGTATTTTTAAAGTGCAGTGGTCCCTCGTTTATCACGGGGTACACTGACGTCCCGCGATAAGTGAAAAACCACGAAGTAGGAATAGTAGTTTATTTTATTATTTATATTTATATATATGTGAAGGCATTTTAAATCCTTACCACTTTTGCAATATTCTACAGAATGTTTCTAAACTCTAAACGCTTTAAAAGAGCACAGAATGTCATGATTTCAGCTCCCTGCCTCCTCTGCTCTTTGCCACCTGCACGCTCTCTTGGCCACGCCCACTTCTCCGCTCTTCACGGTGAACAGCTGATCAGCTGCTGCAGGAAGTTTATCCTGCAGTGTGAGCTGCACAAAGGTGCAGCAGGTGCTAAATAATTTTAAATAATTTATTTGAATTTAAAAAATCCTGTGCCGATCGTGCAGCTCATCCATCAATCAGCCAATTGTGTGTCATGTCCCATCTTAATTTGAAAAACCGCAATAGAGCGAGTTCACGATAAACGAACCGCGAAGTAGCGAGGGACTACTGTGCTCCTGTTTCAGTTTAGTTAAAAAAAAAATCAGGTTTAGGGACTGTCAATAATTAAAAGTGCATATCTTCTATTTAAGAGCAAGATTTCTTGTCTACTCATTGCTTTTGCACCTCTGAGCCGGCAAGGCAGGTACAGTAGTCCCTCGATTATCACAGGGGTTACGTTCCAAACACCCCCGTGACAGGTGAAAAGCCGTGAAGTAAGAACGCTATATTTATTTTATTATTTATATATATTTTAAGGCTTTATAAACCCTTCCCACACTCTTGCAACATTCTAAACTCTTAAACCTACATAATTTTAACAACATACGTAAATGTACTGTACAGTACTGCAAAATTTTATATGAGTACTCACCAGCTCTGCAGAAGCTCGGTTCCAGGCGGGCTCGGTTCTGTTCGGCTACCCTGCAGCTTGACTGAAGCCCACCGCCCCGTCGTGAGTAATATTAAAGTTGACAATCTTGAAAAACTGCGAAAGAGCAAGTCCACAAAAGTCAAACCGTGGATTAGCGAGGGACTACTATAGTCACTTAGCTGAGTAGGCCAGTAGGTATGAAGTGGTTGCACTGCATACATTTGTGAACAACCAAAGGCAGCTTAAAGAAGGGCTTTTATTTTCAGCCGTAACACTGAGTCAGATTGTGGGGGGGGGGAAATCGCTCTAATTAGGGATGCACGATATTGTCGGCATGGTATCGGTATCGATATGTCACTTGTACAAAGATCCTGTGCTTCTACTGGAATTGTTTTGCTTGCACTCAGCATTCCAAGTACATTTTTTAAAACACAATTGTTGTACTCCTGCCTTTCTCTTTGTGTTACAACCTTGTCAAAATTCCCAGCTAACAGGAAGACAGCATATGATGATGATCACCATTTCTTACACTTCTGATGATAGCTAACTTACGATGGTAGTAGTCTGTGGTTAGTTAGCTGTATGCCATTTAGTAATAGGCATGTCATTTTGGACAGTTATACACTGTTCTTCACACAATGAGTAGCTAAACACAGCAAATTAGTCATTATCAAGTATGTTTTTAGTGTAGCAAAACAAGTGCAAGAAGGTGGTGACCATTTTGGTCACATACCATCATTGTATTTGCTGGAAATTTTGACAGAATTGCCCAACATCTAAACGTAAGCTGAAAAATAAGCTGAAGCGAACAAGTGTTTTAAAAACGCACAGAGGAAGTCTGAGCGGCAAGCAAAATGTTTCGAATAGGATCACAGAACATTGGTTTGAGCATAAATAAATCTGAGAGCAGAGATACTGTTTTGATGAGAAGCAGAGCAAACCTTTCAAGCAGGATTATTTTTTTAAGTGGCCGAGTTTTGAGGGAGAGCGGTGCAAAATCTGAGTGGGAAAACAACGAATCCTGCTCTTGAATCACAAATGTAAACTTGATTAATGACTGTAAATTATCTCCGTGGATTTACGTGCCTAATGCTGTTGGTGCATCCTAACCCTGTAGACCATCCTGTGTTAGTCTTGGATGATTTCTGAGATCACATTTTAGTGTTTTGACCTTGAGGTTTGAGGAAGTTTAACATAGTGAGAAGTGCAAGTCTTGACAGAAATTAAGCGTTCAGTTCTGCTTTTTATTTGTAGGCTATAAATGCAGATGTTGTACAGCAAAGATTAGCCAGTACTATTCTAGCCTATCAGTAATTGTGCACTGTGGGAAAAGTTTGTTAAACGTTTGTTTCAGTTTTTTAAACTGTAGTCTTTGTTCCAAAGTAAAAAAATAAATTTCTCCACATTGTATAAGCATAAGAGGCCCATTTTTCCCTGTTTGGAGCAGTCAGCCAAGAGGCCCCACATTCCCTTCAGAACACTGTATTACTGAGTGTTGACATGAGGGCTATGCGATATCAATTTACACAGCTCCCACATTATCATCTGTATGATGCAGACTTACTCTATACCTTCTTGTGTATAAAAACTCCTATTTTTTACTAGCCTTTGAGGAAAACATCCACATCCAGACTTTTATCTGTAATAAAAACGTCGTTCCTGTTTTTGTTCTATTTTCATGCTCATGAAGTGTTTTGTATCTTGGTGTTTCTTTTCGTAACGCAGCAGGCCTATGTGTCCTCCGGCCACCAGATGGCGCCCCCCAGTCCCAACACTAACAGCAGTAGCAACAGCAGCGGCGGAGGTGGGGAACAGCTAAGTAAAACGAACTTGTACATCCGCGGCCTCCAGCCGGGAACCACGGATCAAGACCTGGTGAAGCTCTGCCAACCGTAAGTTTTAGACCTGATTTGTTAAAAACACAAACCACGTGAACGCTTTTAATGAATACTTCTAATCAATGTTGGATGGTGTGATGTTGAAGGGGCTATAGTTTGAACTGTAGAGTGATCGTCTTCCAGTTGCATGGTTGATTGTTTGGTTCCCTGTCCCTCCAGGTTTCATAAAGTGTTTTTGGTTAAATCATTGAACTCCACATTTTCCACGCTTATTGTTGTATAGTTATTAACAAGCAAACAGGAAGCACTTTAGAATATGCTTGTGTGAATGAGATAGGCTCAAAGGGTTCTATGTATATACATTATGAACCTTTGAGAGTCTTACCTCGAAGCATATTGGTAGAGTTGCCTGACCATTCGTAGATTTTTCACACTTCAAACGAGGGATTACAAGCTGCACCTGCAAAGTAACTTACAAATTTTTTTTTTTTTGACTCTTAAAAATGTTTTTGAACCACATCAGCTATTACGGTGTCTTGTTTGACATATTCCGATGTGCCATGTTTGGTATCGTTGTTAAGGTTACAGAGCGGAACAAAGATAAAATAAAGATTTAGAACTTTTCTGGTAAAAGTATTTTTAGTCGACACAAATGACAACTCCTAGTGGATGTTTTCAGCTATAGTGCATTTGGTTTCATTGGCCGTCTTCCTAAAAACAGCCATGACAAAAAGCCTCAAATGCCAATGTGTTGCAAGCTCGCTAACTACTTACATAACACATTAGAAGTCCTGAGAAAACTGGGCACATGTATTTTTTTATATAGAAATCAGTTATAAATGATTGCGTATCACCTTCTTGAAGTGGTGTTCCATTTTATAAGGAAGGGGTTCAACCATTTCTACTTCTTTGCACTACTGCAACCTGCCTTCTCTCTCTCTCTCTTAAATAAGCAGAAGGAAGAAGAAAATTGGCCGTACATATTTATACATGTACATACCGTTCCTTTTATCCTTTATTCTATTTCCTCTAAGTTTATATATATTATACTTGATGTCTGTACGCTGTGAGCACTTGAAATCAAAGTCAAATTCCTTGTTTGTGCACACAAATTTGGCCAATAAAGGTGATTCAGATTCTGATTCTGGCTTCAAATTAAGAGCCAAGTGGACTCTTGATGTCTCGGGTTAAGGTTTACCCTCGGACATGGGATTCAGTTAGTACTTTCAGCTGTCTAGGACTATTGATTTGACTATTTGAACAAAGCTCTGGAAGATGATCATAGGAGAGGAACAAGCACAACTTTACCTGTAAACTATTTTTTTAAGTTTTAAATTAACTGAAAGATAAGGTAATTTTCAGAAAAATATTATACAGTTTGACTTCTTTTTGCAGTCAAAGTCACCCCCTAGTGGCCATTAGAAATAATGCAAGTACTAATATATTAGCCTCGCTTTTTAGACTGGGACGCTTGGTTTATCTCATCTTGGTAGCAAGATGAGTTCTGCATGCACAAGCTCAGGTCTGTGTATTGGCTGTTTAAAATGTGAGTTTTACACTTTTGCTATACTGGGTTTGGTGTTTTCAGATCAAAGTTGCGTGACTTACTTCTGCTGGCATTCTCTCGATGATGAAAGCGATTGCAGCTTGTCTTTAGCTGATTGTTCATTCCTGTCCACATTAACTGGAACAAGTTTCAACTTTGATACTAAATGGGGGGGGGGGGGGGGTCCAGCAGAACCCTATTATGAGCAAAAACATATGTGCTGTCCAGAGATATGTGCTTCATCTTTTGGACACATGCGATTAAATAGTCTGAGACCGTTTCCAGTCACTTTCAAGTTCATTTCAAGAGCTGTTTAGGCAGGAAATGGATGAAAGGGCTTCATCAGTTTGATCGATTACTCACAATCAAACAACACCAAATTGTCTACAATAATGTGGAGACTCAGTTGGAGATTGAAGACGTCAGATCAATTGAGTCACGAAGAAGATTTAAATAGGCTGAAGAGCATCCTGCCTCTTTGTGTCCAGATTAAAACTTCCACTTCTAATGCAGCTATAGTGACTCACAGTCAGCTAAGATTTACACACCTTTAGATGAGCTACCTAGTGTGTGAAGTAGACTTTACAAACAATTCAGTTCAGTTTATTTATATAGCGCCAAGTCACAACAGAAGTCGTCTCAGGGCACTGCACAGAAACATTCATATACTTAAGAAGTAAATTAGCGTTATTTATCTCAGGAGCAGACTGCTTTGAGTTTAACTTCATCACAGACTCTCATCTTGAGCAAGCATGAAGGCGACAGTGGAAAGGAAAAACTCCATCATGAGGAAGAAACCTTTAGCAGAACCAGGCTCAGGACAAGCGGTCATCTCCTTCGACCGGCTGGGTTTGGTAGGAACAGATACACAATGGCAGGTCCAGAATCACATGTTAAGATAGAAAGAAATAGTATCAAATGAAAACAATTCAATTTTAACAATTCATTTTTAAGAAATCTAAGCCTATGGCAGCATAACAAGCCAACCCTAACTATAGGATTTATCAAAAAAGAAAGTCTTAAACCAGATCTTAAAACTGGACAATGTTTCAGCCTCATGGACAGAAACTGGAAGTTGGTTCCACAAGAGAGGAGCCTGATAACTGAAAGATCTTCCTCCCATTCTGCTTTTGGAAACTCTAGGAAGTAAGCCTGCAGTCTGAGAGCAAAGTGCTCTGTTAGGAAAATGTGCAATAATAAGATCTGTAATATAAGATGGAGCTAGGTTGTTGAGGGCTTTGTAGGTTAGGTTAAACACACTCACACAAGAAGACTGGATTAGAAATAAAGCATACACTGAACGTCACCGAGGTGATTTGTGAACTTTAGTCATGCATTTTTATTTCCAGGATTCAATCACAGCAGAAATCCTCATCTGTGAAGGAGTTGCTTGATAATGCCCACATTACAGCAACTTATTTTAAATTTTCCCTCCACACTTATGTAGAAATTATTAAATACTGAAAATCTGAAAAAGACTGAAATCGCATGGCTCGTGACCACGCGCATGTTGTAAAGCTGCTATCAGAGGACAGTAAGTGTAAAAACCGTGGTTGTGTTCGTGAAACAGCGGTACAGCTACAGAAATGTCTTTGTGGAGCTTTGAGGCTTTAGATGTGACTTGGAGGGCTACCGTTAAGAGGAGCGCCTAAATGAATGGGGGGGAAGTTGCACGGCCTGCTGGGAAAGAATGTCAGATGGCCATGTATGGGTTAGTTGTCTTTTAAGTCTTTGGCCTTCGTAGAGTGGTGGGCTTGAGATGTTCTGCAGAGAGGCTAAAGTGAGCGTGGGTTTCAAAAGTCAGTCTGCTGCCCTTTACACGCTCTTGGTGTCATTGCAGGGAAAAGCATGAAATAAAGCTTACAATTTTCTTTGCCACAATTAAAATATTTATAACAAATGATCTGTTTGACACTTTTTATGTCTGTAGGCAAAAACTTGAAACGAGCTATTTTAGGCATAGGTATCAGATGAATGTTTGAGATCCAGTGTGCAAATCTTTTATGTCACAAAAGTAAGAACAGTTTCTATTCTATTAAAAAATCTTGCTGCCACAGTGCCTTCAACCTTTTCCAGCTGTCATATAACAAAAAAGTGGGAACGCGCCCCCCCCCTTCCCCCTTCAATTACATTGTGACAAAAAGCATTTATCAAGAACATCAGAATAAAAAAGACAAAGTCGTCTTGTCCTTTTTATATAAGTTTAAATTAGAGAATCTTCCCACATCAACATAAAAGCCCTAATTTAAATTTGGACAACAGAGAGTATCAAAATTAACTTGTATTGCGTTTTAATTATTGTGCTAGAAACAAAGCTAAATCAGAAACGTGATTTTCGCTTGTCATTGACCATAAAGAGCTGTTGATTTCGTAATCACCAATAGTTACAGCAATAACCCCCGTATTTCAGCGTGACTTCATGGGAGATGAACAAAACATTTTCAAGACTTTATGCACTGGAGCGATATGCAAACGTTTAAACCACCAGCTATTTCTTTATGTTTTGCTTAGAAAAAAACAGTTTCTTGCAATTATTTAAAGTGGTCTTGACGATTACTGTACCTCTCCAGACTTTCTGAAGGTCACCCAAAGTTTTTCTTAGGATTTTAGCTGTTTTTTGGCTCAGTTTTTGACGGACAGCTTGTTGTGCAGTAAGTGGTTACCCAGAGAAAATTACGAAGTGAAGGACGAAAGAACAAACGTTAAGGCCTAGAAGAACTGTCTACAGCCAGTTGACAGCACCTGAATGTCATACCTTTAGGAAACAAAGAAAATCCATCAAAATCCTGCGCGAGCTGAACGCAGTATTCTTTAGCTGATCATCTACTTTATGACAAGTTTTCAGCTTTTGAGAATCAGTTGGTGCTAAAATATTTTCGTGTCAAATTGTTTTATCTCTGTTATATTTCAGATAGGGATGCACGATATTATCGCATGGTATCGGTATCGACCAATATTAGTGATAAAGTTAAATATCGGACTATTTGCAATGACTGCTCAGCGTCAGTGATGAGAGGAGGAGCGTAAACAAAGTTCTACAACACTTTGAACCTAATTAACCATCTCAGTGACCACCATTCTGACCATTACGTTGAGTTTGTGGTGTCCGGAAAGGAAAGCGAGAGAGCGGTCAACCGCAGAGAAACAAAACCTCACCAGCAGTCCATTCTACAAGTTGTTCCAAGTTGAAGCGTTACATCTTCATCCCCGTTTTTGGCATCTGCATTTGGTAGCAGGCTAAACTGACAAAGACCATGCAGAATAATCTATTTTAATTTCACAGCAGAGAAAGCTATGTAGTCTCTGTAAGCATGACTTGGGGGGGGGGAAATATCGGTATCGGTTATCAGCCAAATAAGTTTTTATGTATTGGCATATCAGATATCAGCCAAAAATCCAATATCGTGCATCTCTAATTTCAGATTCAACTTAATAAAATTGATCAGACTGTGTCTTTGTGACTGTCTGCTTGTAACTTAATCCATAAAGGTGTCATTTAAGATTTTTATTTTATTTTATTTTTTTAAGTTATTGGTCATGCGTCAACACAACACTCGTTCATCTTTGAATTTAGGAGCCTTTTCATGAACTTAAAACTATGTAGTTTAATAAAGGCAAAACAGTCAGGAACTGGACTAATAATGAAATAAAAAATAAAAAAATAGCGCCAAAGTCTAAAGTAAAATTTGAAAAGCTTTAGAACGATTGAAGAAATCCTGATTCCAACCGCTCAAGACTTTGCACAGTACTTTACATGTATTCAACGCATAGATTCAACAAGAAAGTATACTTATTTGATTACTCAGCTTATACTGTATTTGATGAATAACTCTTACTTGGTAAACAAATACTTTTGTGTAATCATATTCAGGTTTTTTTTTTTTTGACAATATATTATTTTCTCTTCACACTGATTTTAATAATTTCTGTCAAAACGATGTGGAAAAATGAAACGACGTTATTAACATTTGTCTTAAAGAGGCTGTCCGGACTTACAAGTGTGTTTCGGCTGAGTTGACAGCAAGTGGTCGGCTCTGGCATCGTTGTTTGTGCTCGGTGGTAAATTGTGGACCCTTAATTGTTTTATGAGGTTGTTAGTCACCGGCGCTGTATGCAAATACACACACAGGCTCATCACACAGAGGGGCTGCCAGTGAGCGGCAAACATCAGCAGGTCTAAAGTTTCTGTGAACATAACACACTCGGGCATCCCAACTATAATATCGTTTTGACACGAACACAGTTCAGATCACTGTAAAGGTGAAATCTGCTCAGTGTTTAATAATGCAGCATAGATCAGGCTGTCATGCTTTGATTTACACAACACATTATAATGACCACAGTGGGTCCAATTAGCTCTAAAAGGATCAGAACAAACACATAAGAGTGACTCACCGTGCAGCATGTTGGTAATTCACTTTGATTAATAAGATCCCAACAAAAAAATGACATTTTATTATACAAGATTCTCATAAACAGTCAATTAAAACATTTAGCCAACAGAAAGTCTTCAAAATATTCTCACAAATGGCTGTTTCATTATTTTCAGTCAGCTCTGCAGTAGACGTTTATTTGTTGACCCTGAGAGGTCTGCTCCGTTGTTTGTGCGGAGTCACATCGGTTCAGTAGGTGGTCCTGCAGCTTGTGTTCAAACTACCAAACGGGCCAGACCACCTCCGAAGGTGGTTTGAGAGAAAACATTTTCACATTGAGGGTGTTGAGACCTGTGTTTAGCACTGTCCAAATGAAATCTGATCACCAAGAGCCATTCTTAACAGCTGTGAGCAGCCTCAAATCAAGTGTCTGTGTAAACGCTGAATACATTTTTAATTTTTAATGTTAAGATCATTGTTTTCTTGATATTATGCTGTAACGAAAGCACGATCATTGGTGTTGTTTCAGTCTGTTTTGTTAGATGGATGGATGGATGGATGGATGGATATATACATCATAATAATAATAATAATAATATTGTGTTATGTGTTGTCATCATTATGTTCCCATACAATAGTGAAATTGTCTCTCTGCATTTAACCCATCCACCCCAGGTGGTGCAGTGGGCAGCTGTTGAAAGCACCTGGGGAGCATTTGGGGATATGGTGTGGTGCTCAGAGACACCACGAGATGTGCAATGACTGGGGATCAAGCCTGGGACTTTCGGGTCCCGAGTCGGCTGCCCTGCCTCTACCCCATCTCGACCCCCTACATACATACTTACTTACTTTATTACTTACTTGCTCATTTTATTACTTACTTACTTATTTTATTACTTACTTACGTACTTACTTACTTTATTACTTATTTACTTTATTACTTATTTTATTACTTAATTACTTACTTTATTACTTATTTACTTTATTACTTACTTTATTACTTACTTCATTACTTACTTTATTACTTTATTACTGCATTACTTACTTGCTTACTTATTTACTTACTTATTTTATTACTTATTTACTTACTTTATGACTTACTTTATTACTTACTTACTTACTTTATTACTTACTTACTTTATTACTTATTTTATTA